GATCTTCATTTGGTCAGGTTAATATTGACACAGCTTAGAGAAATCAGACGTGTGTGCAGTGTACATGTACAATAAGGGCTCTCGGGGCTTGACTGGTGGTGTCCATAAATCAGAAAGGGGTACCCGGAGAGGAAGGAAGGTTTCCTGCTTTCTTGAAATATTGTTCAAACGAGATGATTTATTTTTACCAAGGAAAATAAATAAAGCCGTGTTTAAGCTCATGGTTTAAAACAGGCTAATGGGGATTTTTTTTAAACATCTTTACATAATTATGGAAATAGTTTATTATTATTTGGTAGCCAGTGTGTTTACCGGGTTTTCACATTTCAAAAATAAAGGATGCCTCATGAGTGGATTTCTTTGGAGAAGGAAATGGCAAACACTCCAATATTCTTGCCTGGAAAATCCCATGGACAGAGGATCCTGGTGGACTATATTCCATGGGGTCACAGAGTCAGACACAGCTGAGCATACATGCCTGAGTGGATTTTCCATTATGCATAGGTCCTGAGTTGTTCAGTCCCATATAGAAATCCTTATAAACATACAAAATATGGTCCACTGGAGAAGGGGATGGCAAACCACTTCAGTATTCTTGCCTTGAGAACCCCATGAACAGTATGAAAAGGCAAAAGAATAGGACACTGAAAGGTGAACTCCCCAGGTCAGTAGGTGCCCAATATGCTACTGGAGATCAATGGAGAAATAACTCCAGAAAGAATGAAGAGATGGAGCCAAAGCAAAAACAACACCCAGTGGTGGGAGTGACTGGTGATGGAAGTAAAGTTCGATGCTATAAAGAGCAATATTGCATAGGAACCTGGAATGTTAGATCCATGAATCAAGGCAAATTGGAAGCGGTCAAACAGGAGATGGCAAGAGTGAATGTCGACATTTTAGGAATCAGCAGACTAAAATGGACTGCAACGGGTGAATTTAACTCAGATGACGATTATATCTAATACTGTGGGTAAGAATCCCTTAGAAGAAATGGAGTAGCTATCATAGTCAACACAAGAGTCTGAAATGCAGAACTTGGATGCAATCTCAAAAACGATAGAATGATCTCTGTTCATTTCCAAGGCAAGCCATTCAATATCATGGTAATCCAAGTCTAACCTCCAACGAGTAATGTTGAAGAAGCTGAAGTTGAATGGTTCTTTGAAGACCTACAAGACCTTCTAGAACTAACACCCAAAAAAGATGTTCTTTTCATTATAGGGGACTGGAATGCAAAAGTAGGAAGTCAAGAAACACCTGGAGTAACAGGCAAATTTGGCCTTGGAATACAGAATGAAGCAGGGCAAAGGCTAATAGAGTTTTTGCCAAGAGAACGCACTGGTCATAGCAAACACCTTCTTCCAACAACACAAGAGAAGACTCAACACATGGACATCACCAGATGGTCAACACTGAGATTAGATTGATTATGTTCTTTGCAACCAAAGATGGAGAAGCTCTATA